AGTAACTGGACAAGCTCACTTTTCTCCATCTGTTCTGCCGCTATTTCACGTAGCTGAAAAGAAATTCAAATTATGAGAAGCACAAGAAATGGGTGGTGAAATAGCGAGCTCAAGCACGCTTCTCATAGATCTGCGCAGAGTTGTCCATAGCGTAACGCACTCACCCTTTTACACACGCAGTTATGGTACATGTGGACAAATCTATCGTAGATCTGATAGTCGGGTGGAAAGCACGGAACAGCAGCACGCGCCAGTTGTAGGTCGTCTACAATCACTTTTCGACACACTTCCAGGTATCTACAAACGTTCAACCTGGCTTAAATGACTTCATATATGAGAAACATTGGTAAGATCCGGTCAGTAATCCGAAGTCACGAACCTGGCTAACCAAGCTTTATTCAAACTTCGATCTTCCAACTGATTTCCTTCGACACGACTCCACACAGTTTTCTCGAGCACCTGGTCATGAATTATAGATAAGCCCATATAGTGTCGCTATTTCGAAAATTTAGAGTCGCAGGAGGGAAAATCATAGACAGTATTTCAGTTAGATCAATTGCTACAGATATTTTTTCATAGCGAACCCTACTTCTTCACTCGTTTCCTACGACGCATTTCGAGAATACCACGCGTGCTTCTTAATTCCACTCTGATGGATTGCTCCTACGCGCGATTTGACCGGAAATTGTGTAGATGCTATCTTGAGCTCATTAAGTGGTCAAGGATGATCCCATCTTCGGAGTTTTACGATGTAGAGCAACTCTCGTGCGACAACAAAGCCTATGCCATCTCAAGTAGTTACAGCAGCTTCCGTTTCATTCAACGACTAATATAAGGCAGTATAAACGCTTTCATGTGAAATGTGAGTCGGATAAAAATAGTTTCAACTGGAAATAAGAAAAAAGTTAGAGAAACTAAAAATATTTTGAGTTTTCCCACGGAAAATCCGGTAACGTTGCTGCCCTGAAAGATAACCAAAAAAAGCGCGCTATTACGACTCATATTTAAGAAAAACCGAATACGACTGAAGTAGAGCACTAAGTAGAAGCAGATATCAACAAAATGACTACCTTAAAGCATAGTTTATTAAAATAAAAAAAATCATAGAATAACAGAAGTCACAAAGATCAAAACGTTATCCTCTTAAGAATGAAAAAAAAAACGAAAAAAAAAAAACGATTCAATCAACCCTCACTTCAAAGGCCTTCTTACGCCACTGACGAGGTCGTCCTGGCGGCATAAAAGCACTGCCGCGAGCCTTTTTATCCAAGTAGTAATTGTCGATTCTGAAAAAAAGCAATCTTTCAAATCGTACAATCCAAGGATATGAAAACATCGCCAAAGATACCGTTCTTCTCGTTCAACGATACGAATGCATGAGACCAGTTCCTGAGGACCACTACCGCTTTCGCTGCCCTTGACCATTTCCAGTGCACGTCCGATCACAAACCACATATTGCTACTCAGATCAGTTACCAATTCATCCACTTTTATGAAGAAAGTCACGAGAAGCTTGAAAAATGGGCGAAAGCATATGACAAGTAAAATATACCATTCAGTTAGGAAATACGTAACCTACATTTTTCTCATAATCCTTGTTTGGAGAATCAGATTTGTGGACCTCAAATAGCAGTTCGTCTCTAGCTAGCTCCAGGTCCATTATGCTGAAATTTCGCAAGGTGTCGAATCTCAACAGTACAAATATTCCTTATTGATGTGGCGAAATCAACCAACTTTTTGTGAGCTACAAGTAATTTTCCTTGATCGAGAGCCACTTTAGTATCTTGGATTGTTTTTGTAATGTTGAAAATGTGTTTGAGGTTCTCCATAGCCGCTGCATATTGACCTGAACCACATGGTAATAGCATTGCTAATTTCTAAGACTTGAGCTGCTTACTTTTACTTAGGAAATGCTTATTAACTCTCGAAATGTCATATTGAAGAGAACCCTGAAACCATGAGTAATATCGCAGAGATGTCGGGAGTACAGAAAGTGCCCTGATTGAAGAAGGGTGGTTAGCCTCTTCAATACTCTAATCTACCGATCAAACCCCTTTAACGATGCAGTTCAACTTGGATTTTCTTTGTTTTGTTCATTTCACCTGAGTGGTCAAACCTGTGGCGGTAACAGTCATTAAAATAACATACAGTCAGATAGGAAAGGTAAGGTACGGGTAAAATCAAAACCAGGTAGACAACATAACACTTCAACACACCGTGACGTGCATTGGCGTCTCGCAATTCACGCATTTTCTCTCGCAACTGAGGAAACGGAGTCAGACGATGGCGAATAGCTGCTATGCTGAACACCATCAATTCAGAACTTTTTGTTATACTTATACAAAAAGTGAGAAATGTGTGGAAACGTTAAAGTCGTCAACTGATTCATACCCAGTCTCTATCGAGCTTATATCCTCCGCTGCGGTGTGCAAATGAGCAATAGCAGTGCGAATACCTTCCAGTTGCGACTGAACTCCTGTCCTTAGCATCGCTTCGACTGCAGCCTGGAATTTAACCTTATTGGGATACGTCTAGATTGCATAAGGAACCCATATGGGGCCTCATCATAGTACCGGCAAGAAACTATTTTCAGTATCACTCTTTCTCATTATAATAGTATGCATTGAACCTTACCACATTGAACAGCTACTGCAAAAAAAAATCCAACCCTAACAACAGCCTTAACATGGTGAACACTTTTCACCTACAATCACTGGCAGACCTTTCAAATACCCTCAACAAATTTTCTCAGAGTAACCAAGGCTACTGGTTCCTCTCAACGCAGCCGCAAAAAAAATCACACTCGTTCATTGTCCAAACACAAATATACATAGCTGCCCAACTTATAGTGGAAAACTATTTGAAAGTGGGAAGTTACACGTCACAGCCAAGATAATTCTATTCTTATACTCAATAAACTTTTTAAAAGCGGAATACAGGATTGTTACTCTCTTTCGACATTATCTCCCTAATAACCAACAATTCTAAGCCTCAACATGCTAGATTGAGATAACAGCGGTCCTTGATGATCACAACTACTAAACCAGTCACATGCGTGCACTGGACATTTTAATTCTTCGCATAATGTAGAGAATGTAGAAAATTGAAAGCCTCCAGTTAGGTGGACCATCTTTTTTCGATTTCATTCACTGGTGAAAATGTGTGCATTGATACTGGGTTCTCAACTGTCAAGGCAAAATCGCAGCTTGCCACATCAATGAAACGGTCAGCGCCAGCCAACTAAGAAAGTACCCTTTTCAGGTATTGTATCAGTCGATGTTTTTAAAATCTTTTTGAAAGTAGAATCTAAGAATGAAAACCATCGAAACTAACAGAACGCCAAAAAAGTAACCATTTTCCTATCTGCTCTTTTACGCATCTCCGGCAGTTTCTCCAGCTGATCTGGCCTCTGAAGAAGTGAGGCTATCTGATCCAAGGCGGCTTCATACCCATTATCCTCCATTCTAGAAAGTTGTAGTCATTTTTATTTCCAAGCAAAAATTCGACGGAAAATGGTACGACATGGGTTCACCACAGACACGCAAAACATCCTCTTCGCAAAAAAGTTTACCAAATAGAAATCGCAACCTCTTCATAACCTAGAACAAAACAAAAACACCAGTTACAAGAACAAAAAAACGACTGATGAGTAGATAGAGTAATAATATGCAGAGGCACCCTGTGATAAAAACAACAACTGAAACGAATCATCATAATTCTTGTTTGTTGGCCGCTCCTGCGCCGAAGTATTGCTGGCCTTCCAATGTGATCTGGAATTTCACGTAATTATGAATCTTTCATCGCTATGCGGCAGCTGTGCAAGAAGAATTCAAAAAATTGGAAGATGCAGCTGCTTACCTCGGTGACCTCAATCTGTTTCAACAAGAAATCTTTCGCCTCGAAAGCCTGAGATCCATCAGGGAACATAAAGATAGCTCGATCATCATCAATCAAAAAGACCTAAAACGGAAATACTATAATTGCTTTTGCATTTTGCAAGAAGGTAAATTACCTTACCTGAGATTGTATGTGGTTATTAAGAAGCATTACACGCCAGAGTTCCGTCATTTTATTCGTGTAGGGCCGATCCTTTCTCGATGGCACTTGAGGATCTCGAACATTTACGAACATCATGAGGGTTTCACCTTTCTTCGTCCTTTTGAGTATTTCTTCCGGATTCTTTCCCTAAAACAGTCGTAAGAACAAAGTAGGCGTAATTCACCAGAATAAATGAATTTCGTACCTCCAAACCCTTTAGATCGACCGCTTTCGGTTTCTTCTTTGATGCTTCGTCATCGTCATCATATTCTTTGTCTGGATCATTCTTTTCCCACTCCTCGTATAATCGTTCGAGATCGGCCTCACTGAAACGATTTTTTTCTTAAGCACTGCTGACTTCATCGAACAACAACCCATTATGTGCTCTTTCTATTCGGACCATAAAAGTTATGTCGATAGAAAAAACACTGTCTTTAGCCGTAATTGCGGCAGAGTATAGGCCACAAGTAAGTCAACAATCCGAACCTATCCTCAACAAAAATTGAATATGGCAAAATGAATTCTACTGATATAAGCGTTTTCTCTACTGAAAACAAGAACATAGGAAGCTTCAGACACGTTCGAATTAATAACAAAGAGCATTGATACCCTGAAATACCGTAATCGCCGTTTCTCGTGTCATGCGTCACATCGTTTCCATCTCAAAAACATGTACAGCACTGATTGTAAGTCTATAGCGTTGAGTTTATCGCTAGCCGTTCGCGGCATATTCGCGCGACAGCTTCGAAGGTTCGCGAAATGCCGCGCAGATACACGGCCAAGCGGCGGAGAAGCTCTGCACTCGTGTGTTCGGATTACTACCAACAGAGAAGCTTCACAAAAATAAAAGCAATGACTCTCCCATGCATGCTAAGAACCCAATAGCTCGTACATGTCTACGCAGTTGTTAGTTAAGTAAGTGCTATTTATGGAAACGATTATACCACAACAGTCATATAATGTTCTGAAATAAACCTGTAACTCGTCACATCCTTCTTCCTTCGTGGTGTCCCCGTTGACGTACCCGTGGGCGAAGGAATCTGCGAGGAACGTATGAGGATAGTTTCGTCCAAAATAAAGATGACTAGGGCCACTAGGACATATCGTACCATCTAAAAAAAGACCAAAAACATCAAGTCGACCTTCTTAGCAAACCTTATAAAAGCTTGAGGGAAAGGGTACGAAAGTGGAACATAGGCAAAGGTCGAAGGGATTGGTTAAACTATACTATGAGACAACGTGCCATTAGAGCTAGCTGTGGGTGGAGCTTTGTTATAGTGTCCCGAAAGGATTAATCAAGGAGAATGACGGAGACAATGAGGGCAGGAAATTACGACCATACTCGGGCTCCTCCTCCAACCTGCTTTCTCCGCCTTGCAGCCCTCAAAAACCCGACACAGGGGGATTCAAGACACATTTTCAAATGGAGGACCCATTTTCACCTCCTACTTGATGAATGCTTTATGGATTTTCGAAATGAAAATAAAACTGGTCTCCGGACAGGGACCAATTCAGGAAAGTCCTCTTAAGTAGTTTTATTGTGAAAGAGCGGTTCAGTTAGAGTCACGAAGAATTCACTTGCTAAGATCTAGCAAGCATAATCCCTTCATAAAGAAATTAACGAACAGTGAGCAACCCATTTTGATTCATCTTTCGATAGACTAGGCAAAAAGCCTGCCAAACAGAACCCTCCCTCTTTGTATTACCGAGTCTCGGAATGTTTCCATATCTTGCTACTATTAGAAATAATTCTATGCATAGTGAATGAAAGCATGATTATATTTTCTTTTTTTCCTGAAGCCAGGGTATGTGTTGTGAGGTGTGCATGTGGGGATCGTAAAATGAGCTCATCTTTCTTGGTTGGTTTAGCATGCACTGACGGAAAGGAAAAGACTTCCGGTGAAGAGGTTTCGCTAAATTCTATATGTAATTCGACAAAGAGCACACCAAGTAGAAGCATTTCAATACCCTCAGATGATTTTCATTTTTATGTTCCATATTCAACAAATGTTGAACATATAATCAGAGGTGGCACACTTTCTTGCAAGAGGTGCTGAAAGTTCGGCCAAGCGGGTAAACTATGGAACGAAAACACTTCCCTCCCCCTTCAGAATTTTCAGCAAATGATAGGGGTGGGGAAGCAAATAATAGGGGCGATGAAATAAAAGAGATCACACAAGACCACATTTGTCCAGTGAAATTCATAGATCGCCTTTAGAATCGCATATACGGCGGAGGTGAGTGAGCCACTACCACTTGATCTTTTCGTTTTTGTCAACTACTCCCGTCCCCTTTCATCGAAGTAGAATGGCCTCTGGAATGAAACGGATAAAAACCATCTCCGCACTTGTTGGGGTTGGAGGAGCCCTGAAGGATAGAACTTCTGCGATGGAACCAAATCAAAAAAACGGATATGCGTACTTACAAGGACTATACGTCCTTTTCAGGGTTGAAATTACTTTAAGCAAAACAATTCAGAGAATACCGTAGCCTATAAGCTAGTCCGCAAGAATACTAGGGAGAAACCATGGAAGGGGCACTATGCAGCCTCGAAATGGTCAATGCTGCAAGGTCGTTGCTCTTTCGTGTAATTCTTACTGGTTGTCATTTTTTTCACTCTTGCTTGAATAGATGATTATGCAGCTATCTCAACACTCTGCTCCTGAGCCAATGATGCATGAAAAATGGCGTTCGTACCAAGCCGCGACCCAGTGTTTATGCACGAAGATGGGTACAACGCAAAATTATGTACAGGGCAAGAACTGGCCAAATCTAGCAGACCAAATGGGAAGCCGATTCCCAATCTAGTGAGGAGGAGCACAAATCAAGCATGAACATGCGTGCTAGTTTTCCTTGTTACCCAGCAAAGGATAAAATACAATTAACATTGGGACGTGCCAATCCTTAGGCATATCTCACAGAGGCTACTACAAAGCCGCTAACTCGATTACTCCGCTATCCGTCTTCGAGGAATGCCATTTGTATGCAGCACATCTCGCTGGAGATCGAGGAATTGCTGCGAGACGAACTTCCCACTTTGAATGTTGGTGGAGAATACACAGTATTCTACGATAGTTGAAAAGTTCTAGAATGAATGAGCAAAGCGAAATTCCCGAAATTTTGACAAGCCCCGCGAAATATCCGCATCAAAGTAAAGCTGTTCGCAGCCTTTGTGAGATATTGCTTAGAGAAGATGCCGGGAAAAAAATAGTTAACCAAGGCTACAAACGTCGACAAAAAATAGAGCCATCGCTAGGAATAGTTTTGAATTTTTGTGGAAAAACGATGAGAACGCCGACACGAAAACACATTGCAATGGCCGCAAATAAAAATTCATAACGTCTCTTGAATGATTACGGTATTTCATGCGGGAAAATCGTGCATAATATACAAGTGTTAGATCTGCTTGAGGAAAGGAGAAAAAGCTAAACACACGGAAGGAACACGAACACGAAATAAACAAAACATTGGAGGTAAACCTCTGTTCGCCTCAACATGCGTCAATTGAAATGTGCGGCCCGTGATCTCATCCATATCGTTACTACCGGCATCCAAGTTAAAACTCAAATCAGAGACGATCCCCTGACGAACCCATGCTTCGCCTTCAGGCTTGGTTTACCGAATCATCTAAATGTAGTAGAATTCTGCACCAATTGGCAATTTATACGGGATGGGGAAGAGGTGGGAGGGGGCTAATATCTACAGAGGGGAAGACTTAATGCTAAGCTTTGAATGGAGTTTAAGCGAAACTTCGTTACTAGGCGGATCCCCACTCTCACCTTCCACATGGTAGGCGCCCTCCTTGATATTACTTTCGGGTTACCACGATATATCAGCCAATAGAGCGGGTCATTATTCAGAAATTTGAAAAAACCAGCAAACGCTACATAGAAGGCTTTTAGGCACGGGAAAGTAAGGAGTGCTGGAATGAAATGCTCGTCAGAGATATACGTAGGTATAAACAAAGACAAGCTTTTACATTACCCTTTGCTTTCCTAGTTTCCCACCACTTCACTATCCCTCCTTCATTCGCATGCCTGGTCTGACCTCATCCGCTTCTATCCGTCCTTGACCCTATCTTGTTTCTGCTTGTGCCCCCACGCTTTCCTGTATAAGACCACGTTCACAGTAATACCATCTGGGACATCTGCGCCTACACATATTACTTCAAACCAACTAAGGTAATTGCCTTTCCCATATCAAGTAGGCGCTACCGGAACTGTTTATCGAAGACCTCTTCGCCTCAATCTCCTTTGATTAGAGCGATGCTAATTCCGGCGCTGCCGCATCATTATGAAGTGATCCATAACACATTTGGTCCTTAAAATCCTGTCTCGATTCAAATAGATTACGGTGGACGAAAGGGTGCCGCACAAAGGCGACTTAAGAAGATTAAGGTTCGCAGAAAAAAGACGGATTGCTGAGGAGGATATAATGTATAGTGACATGATGAGAAAATGAGCTGGTAAGATGTAGAAAACGAATCAGGGTAGAGGAAGTGGTCGAGTGGAGGGACAGCCTTTCCCTATAACACTGGGCGCAAAAACGCAGGTGCGGCGCGATCGCGTG